GCGACACTGTAAGAAGTCCTTTCAGGGTCTCCCCACCTATTAGAAGTTTTACCGTCCCACTGTTCCCGGCCCTGCTCGCTGGGAATTGTCCAATTAGGGTTTTCTCTCTAATGTTGTAGGTTGTTTACCTACAAAGGGCCTGGATGTAACTGATGTTACACAAATAAAACTGGACTAAACTAAGTGCCCAGTTAACCTAACGTGAATGAACGTGCATGTCTTTGGACTGAACCAGGGAAAACGTGTAAACTCCAACCAGAAAGACCATAGTTTGAACCAGGACACCATCCCTCCGGGTGGAGCCGTGGACATCTTCTAACAGTATAACGGTAATCAGAGACCAGTAATGAGAAGTCAAGGATGGACAGGACCATGAGTGTCAAAAGGCGTGTCTCTCTGAAATGAACAGGTGGGATATTAATGAGATCAAAGGAGTTTCTAAAGGACACGAAACAACAAAAACGGAGGCAAACAAAGTTAATCTGTTACGAAAAGAGGCATCAGAAAGAAAGGATCTGTAGGAGCGTGTGCTGACAGGGAGCAGGAGCAGATTGGGGATCAGACTAGATTACGGCTGCAGCTTACCTTTCATATATGAGCTCCTCATCCGTGCTGAAGAAGTGTGTGTTGGCTGTATTCTTAGGTTTGACCCGCAGAGTGGCAAAGTACAGGCGGTCTGTGGTGTACAGCACACACACACACACACACACACACACACACACACACACACACACACACACACAGGTTACATTCAGCCTCACACACAGTCCTGGCTTCAGGTCAAGGATACAGGGCGATAACGCTCTCTTGTCCCGATCACACCGAGCTGCTGACTGCATCCAGGTATTTTTGGTGTCTCGGTTACAGCACAGGATCAGTTCCCCTCATTAACTGCTGCTGAAACCGAGGCAGGACCCAAATCTCCTGTCCTTACGTGACACACTGGTGCTGCTTACTTAACCTGATTTAGCCAAACTTAATCCTCGCACTACTGAAATGCTTCTTTTTACCAGATCAGGGAACAATGGCTTTATAAACTTTAACTAAACTGTAATATTTGACTCTATGAGTGAGTGAGCTGTGGGACACTGGGCTACAACCTGCCCCAACTGTTAGCCTAAGTTTCAACCTTTCAGCTACATATAGTTCTACATGTACTCATGAGTAATTAGGCTGCTTCAGTAAACCTGGAAAGCAAGTTCTGCAGTGATAGCTGAAAAGAGAAAACTTATTCCTGGAAACGAGCCGCTGTGTAAAGGCTGTGAAGCTGACCTGGACCTGCACGGACTCACTTTACCAGGATTCTTGTTACCGTCTTAATGCACAGCTATTACAGTTTATATCATGTTAATTATAGCAGACACCGCTGAAAACGACCCAGCATCCTCCAGGCCAAAGGCCGACCAGCTGCCCCACAGTCCTGTCAAGAGTTATTGATCCACAACAATGCTGATGAAGAACCTGCAAAATAATCAGAAATGTCCTCGTCTCTCGTTTCGTTAGTGTCCCCCTGATGGAGACTATCGTGGTCAGTGTAACTCACACTGAATCACGCTGGTTTAGCTTTGTTTGAAAGAACAAAGGAGCCAAAATGAACGAGCAGTTGTCCTGTGTGTTTATGTCCACGCGCGCTCTCAGTCACGCGCATGGAAATATTGCAGGCTGTAGTTTCTTATAGAAACCATTACGCAGTATTGCATCCCAGGACTGATGTTAAACTTACCCTTAATAAACTCTGATGCGCTGGCCTGCTCATATCCATCTGCCATTTGTTACAGTGGGAATGGTCGCGTCACAGGGACTTTGTCCTCTTCTTGGTTATCTGTTGTGAGACCACTTGAGATGTTCCAAAAATACCAAGAGTTCACTACAGAATCTCATTTCACCTCCGTCACTACTGTAAATGAAAAGCGTCCAACTTTAAAGTCTCCCCGCCCGCAGCTGACGAGGAGCATGCGTAAAGTCTCCAAAGTCCCCCCAAACCGAGTCGCTCCGCTCCGCTCCACGGCCTGAACCGAGAGGTTTCCGCTCCTTCATGCCTGAACTACAACGAATATTCCAGCAAGTAGAAGATATACAGGGCAGCCCAGAGTCGTGGCAGCGATAATCTCTCTGCTGCCTCGCACATGCTCAGTCAATGGTCACATAAACGCGCGCACGCACACACCCGCGCTGCCGAAGCCTGCTGGAGCTGGATTTAAACAGAAACCCCCCTTTCCCATTAACAGAAACGGGATATGTATAATATATATAATATATATATATATTATTATATATATATATATATATAATATATATATATATATATATATTAATTATTATATATATATATATATATATATATATTACATAAATATATATATATATATTTCAAGGCTGCTACAAAATGCACCGTTTGCTTATTTGTATTTGACGATCAGCGTGAACGTTACAAAAGTAACACCACAAAGTCATTTATGCTGATGGCATTTCCCTCCCGTGTCTGAGTGGCCTCCCTCTTGCACACGTTGCGTGTTTGTGCTATGATGAGCTGGGTTGGGTCTGCATGGAGGACTGCACCGTGGTGTGTTCCCATCACCCAAAGGTGGAAAGCCAAAGTCCTGAGTGCCAAATGTCTGAGCTGCCTGACTGAACTGTGACTTCCACAGGCCGCTAGCTAAGTCTGCACTTGCATCACTTAGTTTTCTAATCAAGTGTTTGCTTGGTTATTAAACAGAAATCTTTAGAATGGCTACAGATACAGGGGTCGCCTTACAGTTTACATGCATTGATTTCTAAAGGGGCTCCGTACCCCACACGGTGCTGTCACAGCTGTTAGTGGGCCTGTCACCACTGACTGGAAGACCTCCACACCATTAGACTGCATTACTGTTGGATTAGCCTCACACAGACTCATTTTAACGAGATGTCACTTTTCCCACGTGTCTCTGTTTCTGTGCTGGGACAAGAACGGGACAGCAAAGCTTCGAAGAATCTCACATATAAAACATGTTTTCAGACTTTTTAGTTTAATTCCACATTGTGATGTCTGCTACAATGTAAATACTTATGAAAATAAAGAAAAACGATCAAATGAGAAGCTGTATCCAAACTTTCTGTTCTTTTTTTTAAAATATATTTTTGTCTTTATTAGACAGATGCAGTGAAAACTGACAGGAAAGTGAGAGAGGGACAGCGGGACTCCTGCTCACCCAGCTGCGCCGCAGGTGTGTCCAAACTGGTATGAACGAGGTCTTCAAGTCCGTCCAAAAGAAACAAGTATGGGTGTCATTAAGCAAACGTGTCCTAATGAAGACGCTGAGGACTCGTTTCTTTGTTGGACGCGCTTGTTTGGAACAGATTTGTTTCTCCACGTGACTCATTTCATTTCCACAGAAATATTTCCACCACAGTGTTACTTTTTCCAAGAACTTGTAACATTGGAGTTTAGCTATGAGCTGAGGCGCCCTTTCACACGCGCCCCTGAACAGAATTAATAACGTGAGGAAGATGAGAGGAGAGCGTTTCCTTCTTATGGCTTTATGTTTGTAATGCTACACTGACCTTACTGCCTAACGGAAAGCCACATGCAGACCTGTGTGTGTGTGTGTGTGTGTGTGTGTGTGTGTGTGTGTGTGTGTGTGTGTGTGTGTGTGTGTGTGTGTGTGTGTGTGTGTGTGTGCGTGTGTGCGCGCGCGCGCGCAGTCCTATTCCTGGTCTTAGGTTAATCTGCTCCAGTTAGCCAATTAGACATCAGATTACCTGGAGGAAGGTTGGAGGGACAGGTGAGCAGCTTCGTAGCCGAGGACGCCTCCATCAAGGTGAAGCACTGACGATACTGAAGTGGAGACAATACGCTACGTATGTGATTATTATTACGTGAAAAGACAGATTTTTATCAGCCCTTGGTGATCATAGGTTGGTCTCCAGTGAAAGACTGCCACCTGCTGTCTGCTTACATGCTCTGTCTGCTCGCTCATGTTGGCCCTGCGTGAGAAGCGACAGCCCTCTGTAGTTACTGATGCACCAACATGGACACGAGCAAACTAACAGTGTCATGCAGATTTGTGTTAAAGACTGAACGCGGCATTACCAACCAGCCAGGCAACAATGAAGATAATTGAACTGAGAAGGGACTATATGTCAGTATTTTAGATAAATGATAAAAAAGATCACATCTCTGAGTTTGATGCAACGTGTTATACAACAGAATTATTTTATACAAATATGCAATAATGTCCAAACCGAGAAAAGAAGAAGAAACAGAAATTTTGTCAAACTTTGGGTAATGACTGAGATATTTAGGAGGGGAAGGTTTGTTTTTGTGACACTGCTCACATTTCTGAAGCATGACACGGATCCAAGCACATCGTGTTAGCATTGCTTTTTTCTAATTAACCAAAGACAAAAAGGTCGTCTGGCTCTGTCTGTGATGTGACAAACGTCTGTGTAAAGTAAATGCATCAGTGTGAAACGCTGCTAATTCTACTTCTCAGGTACATCAGGGAAACGTGAAAAAGCCTGTGAAGGGTCCATACTTTATTCTTTGGCTCTACTAGATTAACTTTGCATGATTCTCAGTTCTAAATAATCGTGTCGAAGCCTCGGTGCAGTCTCTGTAAAACAAGCTGTTTCAGCACCATCTAAGTTTAAGAGTAGGGCTTCTGTACCAACACACACGTGCCGGAGATGACTGTTATATGATCCAAGGGTTGGAAAAGCCTCTGATCAGTCAGAGACTGTCCTGACTGAGTGGCTATGTTTAACATCCACTGATGGGAGAGCCAGCATGATCCATTCATTTGACCTGTTAAAAAAACACCAGTGATCCAGACGTCAAACCTCGCGATCCCACCACCTGACACGACGCTCTTACCCGTACAACACGTGTTCATTTGAAGAGGAAACCAGCTTCCTCACGTAGTCTTTGGTTAAATATATGAACCAAGGCTGCTGCGTCAGGTTTAGGACATGTGCTTGAGATGAAGATACTACCGTGCAACATTAAACATGTTCATTTCTCCCAGCAGAAAGCCATGACACCAGTCTGTGTTTCATGCATGCATTCATGCAGCCACTACACCTGCTTACACTTGTAACGATGAAACATGAAGAAGGACTGAGGGAGACAGAGAACTGCATACAGCCAACATCAGCGCTCCAGCTGATGAATGTGTTCTGATGTAATACATCAGAGAGCGATGCACATTGAACTTTCCAGGAAGCTGCTGCCAACACTCAAAGCTGTCATCGATGCCGTTTTGGGATTGTGACGTAAAACAAGCTTCAGTTTGACCAGAACGTTGACACCATCCACCTGATTCGGAGCGCCCCACATCACTTCTAAATGATCACTGTGGTACTCCATCACTGCATCACATCAGTGCTGGACCGACTCCCAGTGCTGCAGCAGTTCACTCAGTTCATGAAGCATCACAGCTCTCATAGATTGCTTCCAACTTGCGAGGTCTGAATAGCTCCGTTCCCAAAGCAATTTCTGCCACAATGTCCTCCTACAGGAAATCATTTTCATTCACAAGATCTGGCAAATCTCCTTTGAGAATGAAAGGAAATCATTACACAGTGTCAGTGACGAGTCACAGTTTGTCAGGTCAAAAAGAGTCCAACATCCTTCTGTTCTTGACAAAAATATTATTCAGCTTTATAATCTAAGACGAAACGTCTTCCTGTTCTGTCCTTCAAAGCTTAGAAGATAAAACACAGAAAAGATTCAGGATTGATTGTTGAACACCTCTGGAAGATCGATATGTTACTTCTTTTAAACAAACCACCAAATGAGCAACACAACACCTGGAGCACACCTGGAGCATCTGCTGAAGCTGTTCTGGAGGAACATGGTGTCGGAAAAGGTTACTGACTCTTCAGTGCCATATGTTTATATTAAACTTCTTATATTAACTGTAGATTGTTTTGCTAAAGCATATAGTTAGTGCTGGACCAGGTGACCCTGAATCCCCCTTAGTGATGCTGCAGTAGGCTGCTGGGGGATTCCCATGATGCACTGGGTGTTTCTGCTTCACTCACTATGTGTTAACAGACCTCTCTGCATTGAATCATATCTGTTATTAACCTCTGTCTCTCTTCCACAGCATGTCTTTATCCTGTCTTCCTTCTCTCACCCCAACCAATCACAGCAGATGGCCCCGCCCCTCCCTGAGCCTGGTTCTGCTCGGAGGTTTCTTCCTGTTAAAAGGGAGTTTTTCCTTCCCACTGTCGCCAAAGTGCTGCTCATAGGGGGTCATATGATTGTTGGGTTTTTCTCTGTACTATCATTGTAGGGTCGACCTGACAACATGACGTGCCTTGAGGTGAACTGAACTGTAAAAGGTGTGATGACAGAGCATCAGTGTAAGGAGCCAATGTTTGATTGATGTGATTGAGATTCAGTTGAAATATAAGTACTGCACATGGAAGTGTCCAACCAACAGAACAGGCCTCAGAGCACATCACAGCGGTACAGTTGGAATCAAAGTACTACTATAACACAGAATATGATGCAAAACTAAAGCAGTATTTTTAATGCACTCCCTCAAAGAAATACGACATGAGTGCAGCACAGGCAGAGATACTGTGACGTGCAGCCTGTATACTTTTAGGCCTCGTGGTGTTTTTACTGGACCCACCTCTGAAACTCACTGGATCAACCAGCCAGCCAAATGACCCTGGTTACATCATCAGTTTGATTCTTAATTTAAAAACTCCTTCAGCGATTCATCAGACATCAGTGTGCATGTACACACACTGTTACAAATCAACACAAATACAATTAAGTCGGTGTGTTAAGAGGTGATTGTTGTGCCTCAGCTGGTGTTCCCACATACTGACACAGAGACCGACCCACCATCATGTAAAGTTGTCCAGCATTAGCAGCTTCGAGTGACGGGTGGACGCTGCCTGGCTTTGTGTTCTTTGTGTAATTAGCTGAGAGAGAATTTGGTTGACTTGTGGTTGATAACAGCCTGTGAGAAAAGCCTTCCTGCAGCGAAACTGTCATATTTGATTTGTTTGATTGTTTTTGCTTCTTCCAATAAGTTAAACATAGAAAACGCAGACTGGGTTTAGGTCTCTGACATCACAACATGTTCCTTGTGTACTGTGTAACAGTGTTTATGTCTTTCATGTAGAATCCAGGCTGTGGCTGAGAGCT